GAGTTTTTATCTTACACCATTATTGTATGTGTATCTATATATACACTGAGAGTACTGAAAAGCTGTGTAATACTCAGCATCTGATGGAGTTGGCCCTGGTTTTGTGTGCTACGCATACAAATTTCATTTCAGTTGCTAAAGAAACCTATATAAAAAACTCCTGGTAAAATTTCACTCCTGTCTTTTAGGCAAGAGTATTAGCAAATAACACTCACGTGTATGGAAATTGAATAACTTATTTCTGGCTATGAAGAAGGGGAGAATGACTAGTCAATGCTGTTAACATTACTTTAACATTAAAACATAGTGATGGTAGCTTGAACATTTTAATAGTATACCCACATACCACTGTTTCTAGTTGATTAATGATTTCATAAGAGAGAAGATCTGAAAACATGTAACTTCCATGCAGATTTTTAAACTACTAAAAGAACATCTAAGCAATACATGTAGATTTAGGAAGGTTCTTGTTTGCAATTTAAAATTTAAAATGTTTTCTTCTGTTTTTCTTAGAGCGGGGGCTTAATTCTTTGAACAGCATAAGACAACTTTCAATTTGCTATCATCACTCTGATGTTACTCAGGACCTCAGGACTGTTAGTGATTGAGGGTTCTTATAAGTTGTATTTGAAGGGGGAAAGCCTTCTTGTAATAATTGTTTCTGGATTAGAGTGCTGATGCAAAGCTTTTTATCTTTCCCCTAAGACAATATATTTTAGATAAATATATTGCAATTCACCATATTCTTTTTCTTTTTCCTCCCCTGCACTGCATAGTATAATATGTCAAGTGGAGAATAAAAACTTGGTCTTGTTGCATGAACGCTGAAGTATCTTTCTTCAAAAATCTCCAATGAACATTAGTTGGAGGAGGTTCTTGAACAGTCAAACTGCATTCTGAAACACCACAAAATGTCCTAGTTAAATATCTCTTGCTTTACATACAGATTTTACTAATACATTTAGAACAATAATTTATTCTAAAATTATTCTAAAAAATAGAAATTGTATAATGAGATACAGGCTTCTTATCCTCTGTACAGCTATGGTAGCATATATAGTAGCTATTTCTTTAGTAGACTTGCTTTTGGAAGTATTCTAAAAGACTTTGTAGGAACAAACTTTTCCTGAATACCCCAAACAAAGCATCCAGGTATACTTTGGCTGCTGCTTGTGAGTGTGTTTTTTGATCCATGTGTAATGAGAATAAATAGGTTTAATCTTGTCATATCCTCATAATTTCAGGCTGGATTAGGGATGAGATTGCTACTTGCTGCTATTACTATTATTGCCACTGCATCTAGTTTAGAAGAAACATCTGCTCACAAGTTTGCTTAAAGTATGAAAAACTCTTCAAGTTTTCCAAGTCTGCTGTCTCTATCTTCTTCCTTCAAACATAAGTTCATTTTTAAAGAGTTTCTGTATAGAGACATGAAGGAGTAGAGTTCTAGTGCAGTTTTTGATCTGTGCTTTGGCTTTGTCACATTTGTTATTGCTAGAACTTATATCTTATTTTTAAGTCATGAAATGGCAGCAAGGAATAAAAAAGGCATACTTATTAGATATTCTTTAAAGAGTTTGGGGAATGCAGTAAGAGAATAAGAGTTCATTTACATATAGAGTGAAGAAGCAGATAAATATATGTATGTATGTGTGTGTGCCATCTTGGTTTATGTGTGGAAAATAGCAGAGAACTAGAAGTATAGGTGCTTAAACATTTTGTTGTTTTAATAAAATCTAAACTAATCCTATTCGTAAAACAGATTATGAAAGGATAGAGATGAAGTCATCAAGATGACTTAGATTTTATATATGTGTCAAGCAACCCTAGCTATGCTTCCAATCTTGCTCAGTTTGGTCCAGACTTTCTGCCTTGCTGAGCAACCTGTCAGCCAAGAAGTTTATGCAATATGACTGTTACATATAATACGAAAGATCCACTGTCCTTAATTTTATTTGGAGATATGTAATTGATATATTTAATTAGTGACAAATGGTCATGAGACTCAAAACCGCATATATAAATATATAGAGTAGTGTCTTTATGAACACTAAGCAAACCATGTGTTTTGTTTTTGTGTGTGACTGTGTGCATGTAGTTTTCCTATTCAACACACACTGGTCTAGAACTCTCATCTGTTCTTTCACAAACCTCTTAGTTATCCCGGACTGCCACCCCCACAAATAGCAGATTCCTCTTTCATTATTAAAGAAACAAAATACAAATTATTCTATTTTATGATTTACACTTACTTAGTGATGTTTTATGTGTCATTAAGCAAGCATAAGATTAAATTAAAAATTTACATTAAAATATGTATTTCAAAACATGTCATAAAAGCTTAGTGATTCAGTAATTAATGTGGTAGATAATGACAGTCTCCCATTTCCAACTCTGTCTATGCAAGAGTTCGTTGCTTTTGCTGCTTTTCTACAGTACCCATGTTAGGAAATTTACCACCAAGCCATCAGTCTGAAGAGAAATCAGTTTTCTTTTTCTCGTTTTTCTTCCCTGCACTCCTCCCCTCGTCAGAATACAGGCTAATATTCGCAGGACTCCCTAGCTGAACAAAGAGGCTCCGCAGTAAAAGAAAATGCTTTTATGATGTGCATAATTAAACTGTGAAACAGTTTTATCTTTTTATGAAGGCAGTGTCCAGAAACAGCTATTTTGGTACATACAATGCAGTTTTTCTGAGATAGTTAAGTTGGAAGCCAAATGGGTTTATTTAACAAACCAAGAGTTTTTCCTGAGAAATATCTGATTGGTGAAGATCTTTAGAATGCTTTCTGACTCCATTTTTCTGGATCTAGTTAATTATATATATTCCAGATAAAGCTATACAGTGAGGTAAGTGGTATCAACTGCTTTGAGTTGCTAGAGAGCACTGCTATCCATACTATTATAGCTTGGATTAAGGAAATGAGCTGATTTATTTTAAAATAAGCATAGCCATGACAATTGAAATAACTGTAAATAGTTTTAAAGGAACCATTAGAGATGTCATTTTTTTGGCAACGTTGATGAATTATTAAATATAATATGTTCTGTAGATCACAGAAGCAAAAAATAAAATGCCTAAGGAGATATTCCCCTGCCATGTTCATAGAATATATAGTGGAATAGTATCATTCACTGCTGATGCTGGGCTAGAAAGAGTATTAGAGACAGTAACCAAGAATTGTAGGTTGTTCTTGTGTGGTGAACATGACAATAAAAGAATAGTACTTGAAGATACTTCTAAAATGAAGTGGGGAGGAGAGCATGTGCATGTGTGCATACATGGGCCTATTGCTCACATAAGGTGTTGAGGATTAAAGCTGGCAAATAAAGTATAACTACTAACATCAAAAAGACAGTAGCAAAGTTTAAAATGGTACTAGAGCTACTAGGTGATCTGTCCTTTTATCTTTTTTTAGGTAGAAATCAAAAATAGTTGTGGCAGTTCTGGACCTTTCTGTCTGTCTCTTGCAACAGATGTCTATGGGGAAGATTTCTTACCATGCTCATTCAATAGCTAATTGACTTTTTTTTTTTTTTATATGTGTGTACATACATATATTTTTTTCTCCTTTTGTCACCAAAACCAATGCAGATATCTCTGAGATGACTGAAATATCTGAGTGAAATTGTGTACTCTCACTTTTGTGTTCATAGGGTTATATCATTTCTTAAGTAGTCTTTGTTGCTAAATATCTATATGTGTATGCATATCTATATATTAAATTAATAGGATTTTTTCAGAAAATTTTCTAAGCTATATCATCAGCTGATAGAAATAAAGTAGGTAAGAAGATATAAGTAATAGCAATTCTTCTGATATCAAGATCTCCAGATTATTGAGCAGGCCTGTTATCAAAAGCTTAGGCAAATACAGAAGCCCCATAGTAATTTAGGAGTCAATGAATGCAAGAGTATATTTTTGACTCTGCTTTAATCCTATAAAGTACGAGCTCTTTCAGAATAAGATTCTTCTATAGTTTAAAATTAAGGAAGTAAATTAAGGATTGTAGAACACTATTCTTTATATTTCATGGTAAGGAGGAAGAGGTAGGAGTTGTTATAGGTTTATTTAACTTATTGAGGAAAAAAAATTGTAAGGTTGTTTTAATTATTCCCAAACTAGGAAATTCAAAGTTACTGAAACTTCAGAGCTACATGTATTAAGTTATAAAAATCTAAAGCAAAGTATTTCAGTAACCTTGAGTATAACCTATATTTGTGCCAGAAATAATCATAGAATTAAAATTTTCTTTATTATTGTCCCAGATGAGAATAAACTGACTTTTGAAGGACTTTTTGAATCTTTTTACATAACTTTGTAGTTATCCTATCCTTTAAGCTTTGTTAAGCTTTATAAAATAACCTATTTTAAGAACTGTTGTCAAGCTAATACTTGTGCTTTAAAAGATCTTCTGTTAAGTACAAGCTATCCTCATTCCTTTATACTGTAATAATTCTAAGTCTTTTTTTTCCTGATAAACTCAGAAAGAAGTTTTGAATATTTAATCTTCCTTTCCTTCTAAAAAATTGCATACTTTTCTCATTAGCATTTTGACAGATTTTAAAATTTTGGTAATCTCAGTTGTTTGTAATTTTGACAGTTGATTGTAATTATATAGTTTTTAAAAGTCCAGTTCAAATTAAGATCACTAGTTTAGTAATCCATTTTTAGTTTACTTAAATTGTGTGTTTATTTGTACAATTGACGGCAGTATTAAAAATTCATAAAAAATCATTCATAGAAGATTTCAGAATATGCTGTAAATGTTTTCTTTTTAGGACTGCACTAAGACAAAATATCAAACAGTTCTATATGTTCCATATATTTTGCTACTATGAAGCTTTGCTGGCTTGAATTTCCTCCCTCCCCTGCCCCAACTTTTCCTTTTAAACTGATGTTGCAGCATTTTTTTTGTTTGTTTTATTTTGTTTTTCTGGTTCAAATCATTGCCTATTTAACATTAATCTGGCAGAATTCCTTAATAATCTCTCTTTAAGTATAAAATCCTTCTGGATTCTGATGCTCCGGAATATGGAGGACATCAAAGACTGGACCACAGTACAGAATATTTCTCTGAAGAATATCCTCACAATTACCGGCAAAATTCACTTATGGTAAGCAAGATGTTGTGCTTTTTTGTTGTTTGTTTGTTTTTTTAATTTTATTTTTCTATTTTAGTTTGATTAACTTTTAAAATTTCTTTGGACAAATGTGGAGTCTGCTCCAGGTGCATTGTTGGGGTTTTTTTGTTGTTGTTTTTTTCTCTCTCTCCAAATCAGCTTTTGTATATACAGTAGAGATACAGTTGAAATACAGTAAAGATGTCAATTTTATGATTTATTTATAACCTGTATTGTTTAACTGTTTTTTTAATGTTGCATTTAAATTTGCATGCACTTCTGTAGAATAAAGAGGTTGGCATACAAAATATTCTTTGCCAGTAAATATGCATGAAAACTTCTAATGTGCTTTTGAATTGTCATTTTCATATCTTCCTTCATTTGCTTTATTTTCATGTCTGGGAAACTCCATGCTTGCTTTGTGATTAAAGCTCTGTAGAAACTGATATTTGCAAAGCATTTTTAAAATCATTTGCTTAAATCTACAAACATGAATTAGAGTAAATCATGCATTTGCCGACAGGCTTTTTTCCTCCTCGGTTTACAGAAAAATTTTGCAAGGCAGAACAGACTTTCTCTATTTCTGTCAATAATTCCAAGAGTTTCCAGTCCTAAACTGCTATAAATAATGGATAAATGCTTTCCCACTTGAGATAAGATGGGAGCTGTATCCATGCATACAATTTCTCTTCACTGAGATGGTGACTAATAAAAACTAGCTTTCATCATCACTTCTGAAATCATAATCAACAATTTATAACTCTGTTGCTTTCCCATTTTTATGTGTATGTTATTAAAAAAATAAAAAAGGATGTGTGCATGTGTGTGTATATATTAACTTCTACTAATGTTCATGAGTTCAATAGAAACTAAGCTTTGCAAAGGCGGGAATGATTTTCTCTCTGCTAGGGAAGTAAGCAATATGAATTAACACAAAGTTTCCTTGAAAAGTTCTGAGGAAACTTATATTGTTGGCCAGACTTCCATATCCAAAACATACACACGTATAAGTGAGGGCATGAGGGAGGTATGTGTATGTTAATACATATATGCACACTTGCAAATAAGTGCGTATATTTATACATTATAATTCAAAATTATAATGTAATATATACATTACATTATATTTATATGCACATTTATAATGTAATAGAATACAAAGATGGAGTGTGTGTATTGGTCTATGTATGCCATAGCTCTCATATGCAGAGAAATCAAATTCTAATCATGTCTTAACACTTCTCTTGAGAGCTCTTGTCCAGAGAGACCTATGAAATTTCCAAGTTCTTCATGTCTCATGTGCACCGCCACACTTGGTCTATTTCATTGTGGTCAGGGTAGTGGCATTTATTTAGTCGTTTTGTTTTTAAAAACTGCCTTATTACATAGGGAAGAAAATCTTTTGTTTTCATCATTCTTTGTAAAAAGACCCTGGGAACACTTTCTAAATGTATATGTGACAATGCCCTTGATTTATAGGTAAGTATTTATAGTCATTTGCACACAGAGAAAGTAAGGCTCTAAGAGAGTTCATTCTTGAAGACTATATAGCAGGTTTATACTTCCAGAATTCTTACTTCATGTGTCTAGTTCAAATACCTTGTCTTAGTCATTGGAGAGCATCTGCCACTAACTTAATAACTTTTGCAAGCTGATTAACTGTACTTTGGAATGTATATTTCACATTTGGACTCTTAGATGATGAGTGCAAGTCATTCAAGACAGAAAAAGTGTGACAAAATATGAAGATGCAATTTGCTAGGAGCATGTGGAAGATGAGGCATGTGACAAGTAAGCAAAGCAGCAAATGCACTTTTGCAGCATAAGCTGTGGCATGGCAATGGCACTTCTGGGCTAGATAGAAACCCAACAACATGGATCACATTAATTTCTTTTTTTATGTCCTTCAGCAATCCAATTCACAGAGCAGCTTCAGTCAACAACCCAGAAGATGCCCCAAGCACCACATAGAGGTAAAATGCCAGTGAAAGGACACCAAGCAAAAGTAATTGGAAAAAGTTCTGAAAAACTAGACCAAACTCAACAAGATAGAACTCCAAGTGAGAAAGAAGTTACAGGAAAAGCCTTCAGTTCCTGTTTTGGAACAAAACTAGTATAAATAGCAATTTACATCTCATCAGTTAGATAATCTAATCAGGCTGGGGAGTTGCTCTAAAATTAATCGAGGTTTATAAAATCCATTTTTTTATAAAATACATGTAATCTTTTTTTCCTCCTTGTCATTACCTTATTCTCTTTAGATAGTGCATGAGACTCAGAAGTTTCGAATTTCAAAATCTTTAGTTCTCTTTCAGCACAAAACTTTGAAGAAATATTTTTAATGATTGCATAACATTGTGTGAAGGTGTTAGTAAATGTCAGGAAAAATGCCCACAAGTCCTTGGCCAAATTAAATCACATATATTAACTCTGCTCCTAAAGTCTTATCTAAATAGTGTAAAAAATACACTGTAAAAATAGGAGATTAATCATTAATTAAAATTAATTTTAAATTAATTTTAATCAATAAAAATAATTAAAATTAATCTAATTAATTAATTAATATTTATATTTAATATTTATTTAAATTAATTAATTAAATAAATTAATTAAGATTAAATTAATTCTTTCTAAAAACATAATCTATAAAAGAAATATTCAAAGTAACATTGCAAAATTGAAAAAGAAAAATATAAAAAACTTGGAGCAAGGAAGACTGGGTGGAAGATAAGCTTTGTAAGCATCATTAGCTACTTCAGATTCTCTTCAATAATGTTGTAAAAAGTCAGATTTCAAAATTCTCAGAGGCATCGACAATTCCATATATAAATCCACGACAGAGATATCAACTGTAATTAGATTGATTTAAATAATCATTTTTTCCATTTTGCTGCTTGCTCTGTTCTGGATTGTTAATTCCTATATAAATGTGTGTAACTTACCACATAATCAAACTTTATAAAATCAAGGTGTTAATCTTTTTTGTTTCTCTTCTAAAAGTGGACTCTCTCTACTGTGGCTTTTTCTGCTGGATTGCCACCATAGTTTTCTCTCATTAATCTTTTCTGGGGAATTTTTAAGTCATGTGCTTTTCGAATGCTTACCTGTTTCTTTTCTAGTTAGAAATTAAATGGAAAGACACATACCACCTCCTATCAGATACTCTAGTACCCCTTGTAAAAATGTACACATTTGAGTCCTTATTTGTTTGGACATGAAACTTTTTTTTTTTCTTTCCTCTGGAGCTGCAATGAACCACTTGCAGGTTTGGAAAAAAAAATCAAGGCCTAAAAATCATTTCAAGGTCATTTTACAACAGATGGAAGAATTACTGAACTCAGAGCTAGATCAGGCACTACAGAAAAATATTTGACAGTGCAAATTGCAGGTGGTAGTTGCAGGAGGTAATGTCAGAAGAGTCTATGCCAACATTTCTTTAAACTTTTAATTAAAGTGAGGGCTCTAGACATCTCATGTCTCTGCATCACTACTAATTGTCAGACACTGACGCTATTTTGAGAGTATAATTAGCCATCAATAAGATAAACGATCACTTTCCCTTTCTGCCTGTAATTTGTTATGTAAAAAAACTCAGACATTTTGTATTTCATTTTGTTAGATACTGCATAAGAAGGTATGCTTAAAATAATGTGAAGTTCTGCCTCCATTTTTTTTTCTGATTACAGCTATGACATGAATATACAGAAAATCATTTATCAGATTGTCATGCTTCCTTTCTGCATTGTATGTTGACCTTTCTCTCCCCATACTTTCTATATACTTTTTCTTCAGACCAAATAGTTAACTACAACAACAAGAAGAAACTCTATTCAAAAGAGTGGGTTAAGAAGTAAATTAGGAGAATAGAAAATGACTAGCAAAATCTTTGGAGGCATTCCTCTTTCTTTCTTTGTTTTAGCAGTGAAATGATGAATAGATATAAGGAAATGAATTTATAAAAATCCTGAGTAACCTGAGTGACGGCAGCAATTTAAACCATGTAATTCATACAGAGTACATGAAAGGAAAAGGAGGACACAACAAACTTCTGAAAGTCTCATCACCAAGGGATAGAAAAATATCAGAGTTGGATAGAAGTTGTATCTTGAAGCATCTTGATAAACTTGAAGTCATGTTGAATGGAATGATGTCTTTATATAGCTACATACTTCTTATGAGTGGAATTATCTTAAATATAGTTTACTATTGCATGGGCCTAAATAAAGACTTATAACGTTCATAAGTGGTTTACTTAGAAAACACGAATAAAGCATAGTTACATTTTTCAGTATTTAAAGCAAACAGAACTGAGTAATGTCATAGAAGCATTCATGTTTTTGTGTCTGAGGATGTTAGTCTTTTTTATATGCTTTTGCACATATGTTTAATAATACTGAATACTGTATTTAGTGGAGTGAAATACTACAAAATAATGGATTGAAATACTGCAAAAAAGCAGAGCTCTTGATTCAGTTAGAGACTTGGATTAAAATAGAATCTTGGCCACTAATTAAGGCATATTTTTAGTTATGTACTGTATATCTGTCCATTTGAAAATGACTGGAATCTAATATACAGTAAGATTCTTCTTTTCAACTAATCCCATCAGTAATGAATTCCTGAATTTTGTTACTGACTGACGTAGCTTAAAAACTTGTAGCATTAGCAGAGAACAGAATGCTGTATCCTGTAACATGCTGTCAAATTATCTGAAAAAAGGAATCAACAACTGGTAATAAGGTAGTTTATTAAGGTAGCTTAAGTTTGTAATTTTTCCAGACTGCATTCTTTTTTTTTCCCCCTCCAAATTTACATTTCTTATTATTTTTATCTTAGTCTTTGTATTATTTAAATATATTTGAACTTTAGGAATTGTTTAAGGTTCAAGAACTTTTTTTAGTTATTCATTTGTCAGAAAAGGGATCCCCCTTTGGCTAGTAATGAAAAGTAGACTCTCTTGATAATGTACTTAATGTTCTTACCTTGCCATTCTTCATCACTGAGTACCTTTCAAAACACATCTAACATTTGTTACACAATTTTATCTTCTACTTCTTGTTCTCAAAGAGAGTCTCATAAGAGTTTTAAACTAACTTTTACCTGCTGTGTTAAAGAAAGCCATAACTAGAGACATATCCATCTGTTGGAATCCAGTGCCCTCAAAAGCAGTGATAGGTCTTTTCTTTTTTAGCTTGTAGCTGGATTACCAAGTAGTGAAGCAGCACGTGCATTATATGCTCTTTCCCGTGTCCTTAGATCTGCCCTTAAGAATGTGTGCCTTCATTACAAATGGCCAGTTGTTCTAGGAATTTCAGAAAATGTGTGAAGGACATTGTAAGCTATTGAATGATCTGAGGCATGAGCTCATTAATTGGTAGATATTAGTAAGCAAAAGTGAAGACAAAGTGTTTTCTTACTAATCTGTGTTGTTATAGCCACATTCTCTATTCCTTGAAGATTGGAATTTTATGTTCAACGGTGTTGCATTGTTCCATTGCACGTGTATGAGTAGAAGGCATATTGTACTGAGATCCAATCATTCCCTGCCTAGGAGTGATATATTCATCCGACTAAATAGAGGAGTAAGAAAAACTACTGTCTTTTGAAATTTCTAGATGAGACCTTGGGGTCAACAGGCGTTTTTAGAAATTCTTCTGAACGGAATATTGAACTTAGTGCTCAGTGCAATGCATGATAGCTCACAATCAATAGTGGTTAGTCTGTCCAACCTGATGCACAACTAGAGGAACAGTCTGTATAGGTGCATTCTGAGTTGCATCTCCCTGAAAGTTCTTCATTTGATACTGTAGGCCTAGTACAGTAATTTTAGCCTGCCCTAAAAGAAGCGGCTATTTTTCCAGTAGTGCTTCATGACATTGGCATAGTTCTAAAATCTTTCACTTCTGAACTTCAAAATGCATAGAAGGATGTGAAAGGACTAGTACTTGTTGTTCCTATTTTCTGTGACTTAATACTTCCCTAGCCATAAATGTAGTCTAAGAGTGTTTTAAAATTGCTTTGAAAAGTTGAGTTTTTTTTTTTTTTTTTTTTTTTTTTTTTTTTACCATGCCTTGGTGAAGCACTGCTGCTGCCAGGCTTCTCTTCTGGAGTTCAGTAATTGCAGCATGTTGATCCTCAAGTGGGGCAGAGGTAGGGTACGGTGTAGAACATGAGTAAGTATGGTCTATGTTAGGAGGAAATAAAAAAAAAAAAAAAATTGGGATGACACCAGATAATACAAAGGGAAGTGTAAAATAGACAGGCACTGGTACAGGCTGGGGGCTGACCAGCTGAAGAAGAGCTTTGCAGGGAAAGTCCTGGATTTCCTCATGAACAAGAGTAACTGGGCGTCCATATGGGAATGAAGACCCAGCAGTATTATGACCTGCATTATGGAGAGAACTAAGAAATGATCCTTACCCTCTCCTCAGCCTTGGTGAGATCACATCTGGAGTTCAGGGTTAAGTGCTGAGCCCCCAAGTACAGAATAGAGATGCAAGTCCAGTGAAGAGCTAAAGAGATGATTTAGGGGCCAGAACATCTCATACGAGGAGAAGCTGTGAGAACTGGGGATGTTCAGCCTGAAGAAGAAAAAACTATGGGGGATTTTAATCACTATGTACAAATATATGATAGAACGATGTAAAGAAGACAAAATACTGGAGTGTAGAATCTGAGGAATGCTGGGACTGAGGTGTCAGAATAGGAGGAAATGCATGTGAAAAGGCAGAAGCGTGAGAACTGTTGGGTCCTAGACAGGTAACCTTCCAGATTTTATTGAAGTCTGGGAAACACAAGCAGTTTCTGGTCACATTTTCTCCTCCCATCTCTCTCTTTCAAATGATCTATATTCTGGCTGCTTTAAACATCAGTACTTTTTCAGACTTTTGAAAAACAAACCGCATTTTGTGCTACTTTACCTTGAAAGTACATTGTTGCAGGAGTGGAATGAATATTTAATTTACAACGGTGGGTATTCATTATTCATGACCTTTTTGTTTGTTTGTTTTTTTTTTCTTCTTACAGTTTTAAGTCTTAAAGATGATTACACTGACTAATGATATCAACTGAAAAGATTAAGAGATAATGTCATGTTTGACTCTTCTAAGATTTATTAAAAAGCCTGCCAAATGAGTAAGCGTTAAAACCCAATTCAGTTTACCTAGCCAAGCAAAGAAATACCTACAGACAAAACAAAAACAAGTAGTTCTAATCAGTTAAAATATATTTTACATAAATTCTGAAATTACTATTAGCCATATTCTAGTTTATTATTTTATCTTGTCTTAAATTTTTGTTATTATAAATCTTACATGCTAATTTGTAAAAAAAAATTCATTTCCTTTTCAACTTCATCATACAAATTCAGAGCACTGAATTTCTCAATTCACAACTTTGAAATCTCTCATTTATCTAGCCATTCTGAATCAGTTGATTCTTTCTGATCAGCTGAATCATTTCCTCCCCTGGACAAATAGTAGTAGCTATTTATCACTGAAACCTTAAGGGAAATCATTATATTTGATGCCTTTCAGAAAACATTGAGCATGGCTCAGTCTAGTTCAATTAAGTTGTTCTTTTGTTTTTCTCCCTTTTCTAAAGCTCTTTGCTCTCTTGCTTTATTCTCTTCTGCATACTATGAAGGCCTTTCATGCCGTCAGACTATAGTTTGCAGATAAGGTAGTTGAAATTACAGAATATTATGCATTCTAAAGGTGTGGTGGATGATCTAAAGGAGGATGTTGTCAAAATGAAGCTAATAATCTCCAATCTTGTGTCACCTTTTGTAATTGTGTTTTTATTGACTTGTTCAGAAAACATGTTCTTACACTTGACAGTTGATGGAGTACCATATATCAAGGTAATTGGTAGGTAGTACATATCAGTGTTGTTTACAGATTGTGACTTCTGGTTTTGCATTTTTTTTTTTTTTCTCAGAAGGAGTGTATTGGAATTGTCTTGTGATATATGAGAAGTCTTTTAATTATATGTATAACCCTTTTTTTCATGGCAATTAGGTTAAAAGAGTAAAGAAAAATGCAATAACTTAGTGGTTACTTTGAATGTATATTTGTATTGAGAGTTAATTTGTTGCTCAGATACTGCAACTTCATAAATGTCAAGAGTGGGAAGGATACATTGCTGTGTCATGTTGCTGCTATTTACTTGTACGAAATGACATCATGGACCTTGGGGCAACTTTAATTCACAGCAGAAGACTGTTCAAATGCTGTTGTCAAAGTTTGTCTCTTATTGTCTTGGTCTACTGACTTAGATGCCCTTGAGACTTTTTTTAACTGAACATTGTAAATCATATCCTCATTGAACAGTGTAAAACATATCCACATTGAACAGTGTAAATCACGACCCTGTAGTGGTATCCAGAGAAAGAGAGAGCACAATTCAAATATTGTTAATATCAACAAGACATTGTACAAGTTATAGACTTATAGAGTTAAGATCCTGTATGTTTCACATGTTTTTACTTAAAAAAAACGTATCTTATGAGGTTCATAGCTCCCCTCAGCTATTCCTGTTCTTGTCATCTTTTTATTAGGTGTACATTCCCAGCAGAGTGGCCATTGTGCTTCAGAATATGGATATCCTAAACTGAAGATATGGATATTCTTCACTGAAGAAACAAGTCATAGAAGTACTGTACCAGTGCAAAATATAATAAAACTTAGGCTCTAAATAAGCTTTCTGAAACCAAATATAGCATTATAGATGTTTAAAATATAGGATTAATATTCATATATAATTGCAGAGCTCTAAAGTTACTAGAATCTATTTTGAGGAAACTTCATGATGGATATAGAAAGAAAAATACCTTTGTAGCTCTGAGATTGCAAAATTTACCCTTAAGACATTTCAGAGCAGCTGGCATTCTCAAATTGCTGTTTAAAGAGCATTATCAGGCATGGTCCTGCTTTGTGATATTTTTAATTTCTTGTAAGCTTCTATCACTTTGAATTCAAACATTCATTATATAGCAATACTTCCTATTAAAAGTAAGTAAGCTTGCCTAAGTAAAACAGAGCTTCTTGACTGAAAGGCAAACTTAAAGGTTTGTGGGACCTCGTTTTGGGCTCCTCTTCTTCAGTGAAGTCCAACATGTAATTAAAAATGTTTATCCAAATGATGGATGAGAAGATCCTTTGAGATACTGTACTCTGCTTTTTTTTTTATTTTATTTAATTAGAAAGTCACAAAAATTATAAACAGCCAAATGGGCAGGTATCATTGCTTTGACCTGCTGATGTTGTTGTTTACTGCTTATTTGCTGCTGGTCAAATCACTTAGTCTGTGCATCTCACCTGTTACAAATGAAAAAATAAAGGCACTTTATGCTTTTTCCATAGGCCCTCTGAAATGCTCAGTTAAGGGGAGTGTTTTGTTATTACTACAGTGATAACAGGCCAAGAGATGTTTTTAAAGTTTACTTTTCCCTTTTCACTTATTTCAGTAATGTTGAGACCTTATAATACTGATTTGATAATTTTCAGAAGCTGTCATTCAGATTGAAATATGATGTTCTTGCACTTTTATAACTTTTGAAACACTGCTTTTCAAAAAGAAGTAAGATTTTTGTTTTGCTAAGTTTAAGGTAGTTTAATTATTAGAGTGCTGCTAAGATTGTTCAAGTGAGTTCTTTAAAACTAGGACTTTTTTTATAAAGAGTAAGATTCTGTATATTTGAAAATGTATTACAGAATATTCTGTAGAGTTCATACCAAATGAAAGTGCTTTATTTTGCTCTACATACTTAAAGTATATTTGATTTGGTTCTAAAATGAATTTGTCTTGTTTTGTACAAGTCTGTGTTTTCTAACTTTAAAATAGCCAAAGAGGAAGATGTCCGTGACCATTTCCAAACCATCTTTCACCCATTTTCTTCTGTGGGCCGCTGTGTTGATTACCAAATAATTGTGTCAACACTGAATATCTTTTCGCAGATTGTGGAATGATTACTTATACTTTCATGCAGTTTACACCAAAATAGAAAGTATGATGGGTGATGGGATAATAATAAAATAAAGTATGATGGAGAGCATTGAAAACAATCTTCTGGGAGACTTAGCACTGAAAGGACTTTATGAATATGCTCAATCTGATTTCTGAACTACAGTAGAGCATTATAACACTGTTTAGTATCATGGCCCATTTTCCCCTATATCACTTTGATTGTTGTTTGGTAGTCAGCCAAGAAAAGTGTTCCCATATGCTGAAAGTTTAAAAGAAAACACATTGAACTATTCTAACAACTTGAACTGATTATTATTTTTGTCAAATCATATTTTCTCTATACTGAAACTTAAAAAAAAATGCTATATTTACATTATATTGATCTACTAATATGTTTTGTAGATTTTTTTTTTACTGATAGTAGTTCCAGGTTTCAAAATGTAATGCAAGGTAATTGCACTTGTCAGACTTCTTTTACAAGGGAAGGAATAAATGTGTGATGTGAAGTAAAAGCTGTATAAAGTTACATGCAAATAAACTTGAGTATAAAGCATAAATGCATATATGGTTTCATTTCTTGTACTGTATGCCCAGTCTTAACAGAGGAATATTGGCACATCTCAAATTCAGAATTTTTTCTTGATCAGAAGAAACTAGTGAGAAGGGCGGAATATTTCGCTGGTGTAGTTATTTCTCTGATGTAATGAATGGATTGATAAAAGCATACTACATGAACATGGGTTTAAAAGAGAAAAAAAAATGTAGGAAACTTAAGAATTAAGGCCTTCTCAGAGCCTGTGTGTGTGTTGTAGCAGTTGGTGTGCTCCAGCCTGCCTTGTAAGCCTGGGAAATGCTCCCTCGCACTATTCATGGAAAGCCAATTTCTCCCTCCTGCTCAGTAGTGAGATAGAAGGAGGAATTCAGCTACTGCTGTTCCAGTTCCTGTTTTGTATCATGTTCACATTGCCAAGGGTCCCTCCTTACTGTTATATCACCTACAAGACTGTATTCTGCCTGTCACCTACATCTCCTGTATTCTGTCTCCATCACAGGTGCTTGTTACCTATGTAAGGCTCCTCTCTCAGAACTAGAGTTTACAAATTAATGGGAGTCCTGGTTGATACCAAGTTAACCATGAGCCAGCAGTTTATCCTTGGGAGCAAGAAGGCCCATGGGATCCTGGCCTGCATCAGGTAAAGGGAGGTGATCCTGCCCCTCTACTCAGCTCTGGTGAGCCTGCACCTAGAGCGCTCCCCAGAATAAGAGGATTGTGGAGCTTCTAGAGAGGGTTCAGCAAAGAGCAATCCAAATGATTAAGGGACTGGAGCATCTCTCATACGAGGAGAGACTGAGTTGGGCCTGTTTTCTCTGGGAAAGGCTGAGAGGGGATCTCATTAATATGTATAAGTACATGAAGGGGGAATGTAGGGAGGAAGGGGCCAAGCTCTTCTCAGCGATAGTACAAAGGGAAATGGGTGTAAATTGAAACACAGGCAGTTCCATCTCCGTGTGAGGAAGAACTTCTTTACCGTGAGGGTGACAGAGCCCTGGCCCAGACTGCCTGTTTCCTCTGGAGATCTTCCAAACCCGCCTGGATGTCACCCTCTGCCCCCTGCTCTGGGTGTCCCTGCTGGAGCAGGAAGGTTGGACTAGATGATCTCTAGAGGTCCCTTCCAACCTCAACCATTCTGTGATTCTGTGATTCTGTGTAATTAAATGCAATAGTAATGACTGAGGATTATGTCTGAATAGACACTATAAACTGTTTTTGTTTGTTTGTTTTTGTTTGCTTGTTTATATTTGACTTTAAAACAATTCTATTGAGGTATGTGATCGATACTTCTTCTGTTCTATAGTTTAAACTTCTGTGCATTTTTGTAGTATATAGTAATCAAGAGTTGCTTCATAGACTAATGTTTACAGAAGGGACATGTAGTCTTTCTAAGGGTGCTGTTCTGGAGACAACCCTGTAAGTATATGAAATACTACTTTTATATCTAGGTAGGAAGTAAGTTTCAAAAAAGTCAGCCCAAGGGGGTAATCCTAATAGTTAACTGGGACTTTTTTTGACAGGAAAGCTCTGAGTGTGTCCTCAGACCTCATAGCCTACAGTGCAAATATTTTAAGGGGTTGTTGGTTATTAACTGCAATAGAAATTTATTACAATAGAAATCTCTTTATTCCTCAGCATATGTCTTAGCTCTCACTTTTGTTTTTCAGCTTATTTTGAATTGCATTCAAGTTTTTTTTAGGAGAAACACTGGATTTTTCTAAAGGGTTTTCTTGAACATTTACCGAAACAAAAGTATTTATTTAATTTATGCAGTGCTTCCTTTATGTGAGTTTTTTTCACTTTTGCTTCATCTGAAAATTGCAATAATACTGATTGGCTGGCAAGGCTACTCTTATTAAAAAGAATTTTATGAAAGTTGGGATAAAAATGACTACAGTTGAATATGATAAAAATATTCTCCTCACAGAAAGGTGAAATTGAAAGTTAATTATGACTTATCAGATGAAACAAGTCTTATTTTTCATTCCTGTGAATACAATAAGTACCCTGTAAATATAAATAAGTCTTTGAATGTTCATGGTAAATTAAAACCTAAAAAAAATTGGAGAAAAACCAAGAACTGGTAGGTATCTAAGTAAGCTTGTTAGCTTACTTGACACTTTTGTATATTTACAAAGATATTTGGAACCCTGAAATAAGTCTAGTAGCTTAACTGAACTAGTTTTCAGAATGATCTTCTAGTAATCACTTCTACAAATATTAAGAGTTCAAACTGATCGCTGTTCACCATTTGACTCTAAACAGAACTCACTCTTTGTGGTTTTCTTTCCTTAAATATTCTCCACAAATCATTGTTGAAATGCATAGAAAAAGAACAGTCTATGGTAAGACAATGCAAATTTAACGGATTAACTATTGAGTGTATGCTCAAGGTATCATGTGTAATGGTTGGAGTTGGAGCTGTAGAGATCACCTAGTCCAACCCCCCTGCTCTAGCAGGGACACCCAGAGCATATGACACGTGGTCGCATCCAGGCAGGTTTAGAAGATCTCCAGAGAAGGACACTCCACAACCTCCCTGGGCAGCCTGTATGTAGGGGAAAAAAAAAAAAAAAAAAAAAAAGCCAAAACCTCAAATCAGATTGTATTTGGACAGTGCATTATAGAAATAGGTATTTTAAGTTTTGTTATTGTTTCCTTATTAATCTCTGTACTATTAAACTAAATACAAAGTTTTCTTAATACAAGTTTGGTTGGTTTGGTTTGTTTTTAAAGCAAGCAAATACAGTAGTTTTACTAGTTTGTTTGTCACTCACTTGGATATGCCATTTCTGTACTGCTTAGTTAAATTATTTGTTCTTATTCAAGAAACTTTGAAAGCCACAAGGGCTACAAAGTTACCTTCACTCAGGCTTTCTCTGGCTTTTTAGTTCCAGCCTTGGCAATCAGCTGTGTCCCATCTGGTGGCATCTCTTGGTAAATTTCCGCAGTGAATTTTGCCCATGGTGCTGGGTTCAGCATTTTCTTTCTCCAGTGGATCAGGCCTGTGTTCCCAGCACAAGTGTTTTTGGTCGCATGATAAATTGGACTGAAAGTGTAATGGTCAGGAAAAATGGCAACTATTTTTAAAAATGTAGGGCTAGCTAGAAAATAATCTTTTTACAGTTGATGTCCAGTCTTATTTCCTGCAACTTGTCAGAAGATGGCTATGCTGTGACAAATTGTGTTTTTTTCCTGTAGTGGTGGTGTGTGTGTGTGTGTGTTTTTCCCACATTTGTGCCATATAACAACCTGCCATTAAACAGAAATCACCACTATTTCTATTTTTCAGTATACTGATGGAGTTATTATTCCCTATTCCTCAAGCTTAGCTGACAAGTATAATGTAATATATCATATTCACAGATTAGTACAGTGGCCATATGTCCTTCCTAATAATGTAATTAAGTATTTTAAAACAAATTAAATACAGTTCACCCAATTGGGGATAGCTGGTAGGATGAGATAATGCAGTTTTAGCTTTTTAATATTCTTTGTGGACGTAGAGAGCTTGGAGTATCACTCGTGGCTTGTGCAATGCAATCACTGAGCGCACACACACACACAGTTTAAAGGGAACATAAAACCTTATTGACATGTAACTAGAAATTATCTGGGGACAGCTATTCTCATATCGACAAATAAAATCTAATTATCAAGTGCTCTGTTGGATTTAAATACTGATGGAGTGGATAGAGGAGGGAGGAGAGTCCTAATCTCTCATCACTTTACAAACAGGGTTACACTTTTTCAGAAGTCTTCAGGCTGTTTGTTATAGACAACATGAAAGAAGCAAATATTTATGAATTACAAAGAATAGCACTTTTAGGGAATAGATCATTATGAAGTTTTTGCTCTGCGCTATATACTTATTAGACTGGTTGCTTGTAGTAGTCTGATGTAACCTTCAGTTGTAGTAATGTGCAGCAAGTTGTGTAAAATGCTGTGCAAGGTTGTTAAATGTGAAAGATGCTGCTTTTGTTGCTTCTCAAGTAACTTGTATATAAATACTCTTGTGGATAATTAAATTCACTGACATTTCACATTAACTGTCTTACTGGGTTTGAAACTGTGGCTTGCTTTAGTGATAGGCATAACTTTCTGGTCTGCCTGTGCAGCTTTCTTAATGGTTTGTGAATCTTCCTGTTCATTTTGACAGGTTAGGTGGATGTCGAGTGTGCTTTAGATATTTGTACAAAGTTCTGCCACTTCATAGGATAATGTCTTCCTTAGTCCTGCAGCCTGGACTTTTTAAGCAATCTTTGTGTTTTTATTTCTCAGGTATCTCCACCATGCAGTGACAAGAGTCTGTTTGATATGGTTGTTTGTAAGATATTTTTGGCACAGCAAAAGCTCTTTCATTAAGACCAAATCTCTGCAGCAGTTGGAGACAGAGGTAGATTGCAGCATAAGCAAATGTGTTGGCCTATGTTTCTATATAGGTCTGATTCATCTCTAGAGGAGAGGCTATCTTCTGATGTTTCACTTTCCCAGGCCGTGGTTTTGTGGTCCCTTCTGAGGATTGACCCTAACCTGAAAGACTTGGTAGCAACATTTCAACCTCTCTGCAGAGCAACCTCTCTCTGCAATTTATTATGAAGATGTAAGCTGCCATCAGAGACATGCAAATGAACTATCTTCAATTTTTTAAACTTACTGCTCTGTGCCAGCTTCTGAGCAATGCTTGCATGGTGCTGGTAGGGAATTTTCTTATGAGGAAAAAATTTAAGTCTGAACATGTCC